ATCCATCCATCCAGTAACTTTTCCATTAAATAATGTTCTTCTGATTAGGGGCTAATAGTAAGGGCAGCATTCTCTGCTGAGGCAATTCACAGGGTGTTAATTTGTTGCTAAAAGATTCAGTTGTGTGCATAAAGTCTATCCAGATTGTTGTCCATGAAGTAGTTTAGTAACCATTTCTTGCACATTTGAACTGTAGAAATGTTATTATTTTGTTTGAAATAGTTATTTGAAAAAGCATAGCTGTATAACTATCTCCTTTTACTTATTCTGTCAACTGAGTCATAGAAATTGTATTCTCTAAGTTCTTAAATGAGGAAACATATCTGATCTGACATTCCTTCATTTCTTGTGACATTAAAAATTGTCATTTGTTACTGCAACATCTCTTTGACCTAATACTTTCCCGAATGCAGTACTTGTCTGATGTACTTCCTCCTTTCTGGGAAGAACATCATCAATACACTGTTCACATAGGTGTATATATATTAAATATTTTTTTTGTAGGGATGGGGGTCTTGTTATGTCGCACAGGCTGGTCTCAGACTCTAGGCCTTAAGCAATTCCCCTGCCTTGGTCTCCCAAAGTGCTGGGATTACAGGCATGAGCCGCTGCACCTGGCATACATACATATTTTTAAATGATCCTTAATTCAATGGCCAGCAGGGTTTCATCCACACAAAACAAGGTCTGTTCTTGTTTTGTTCAGTAATATATGCTCACATTTAAAATGGTGCATTATTAGCCGCTGAAGAAATATTTGATGAATATATGTTCTTCTCTTTTTGCATTTGAACTTTAAACCACCAATTGACAAATATCCAACACTGAGTTATAGCACTCGGCTCCTTATAAATAATCTGTATTTTTAAGCACCCAATACTAATTGTCTTGATGTGGCAATTACCAATTAAATGTGGCAAATGCATTTTATTATTCTTTGTCTCATTTTTCAAAGGCTGTGGTCAATGTTACCTTACTGATTTTCTAAAAGAAAAAGTTTTACTTCACATACCAGTCTACTGCCAAATTATGGTGCCCCCCTACTCTACATTATATCTTATTTTCTTTATTACTAATGATACAGATTTTGTTTATCTCTGGAAAACCCATAAGCAGGACTATTTTAACCTTCTGATTCACTAAACTTAGATTAGAACCATTTTCCCAAATAATTCTGAATGCTGCTAGCAAAATTATTTTCCTGTTATTGTTTTGACCCATTCTTTGGTCTTTAAAGGCCTTTAATTCATTTAACTAAATTGAGAAGTAGTAGTGATTAAGCATGCAGACTTGGAATCAAATTTCTTTGGCACAAATCATAGCTTACTAGGTGAGTGATCTTAAGTTCTTTCACTTGTGGTTGCTAAATTTTTCTTTATGTACCATGGGGATGATCAGAGTGCCTTTCTCATAAAGTTGTTCTGAAAATTTGTATGATAACACAATGCAGGATCCATGGTAACTGCTTGATAAATGGCACCTTTTTCCATTTTGATTATTAAGATCCTGACTTGATCTAAACGCTCCCAGACTACAGTCCTATCCCAGAACTGTACTGTACTGCATATCAGCACCACTAGATCCCCCTAATATTATCTAGAGCTATGCTAATTGGCCTGCCACTGGATGCACCTTAGACAAAAGGCTATGGTCCATGTATCTACTAGGTTCTGCCTGGTGCTGACAGATGGACCTTCTTTTTTTTTTTTTTTTTTGAGACGGAGTTTCGCCCTTGTTACCCAGGCTGGAGTGCAATGGCGCGATCTCGGCTCACCGCAACCTCCGCCTCCTGGGCTCAGGCAATTCTCCTGCCTCAGCCTCCTGAGTAGCTGGGATTACAGGCACGTGCCACCATGCCCAGCTAATTTTTTGCACTTTTAGTAGAGACGGGGTTTCACTATGTTGACCAGGATGGTCTCGATCTCTCGACCTCGTGATCCACCCGCCTCGGCCTCCCAAAGTGCTGGGATTACAGGCTTGAGCCACCGCGCCCGGCAGATGGACCTTCTTGATGCTGAGATTCCACCACCCTGACTCTTCTCCTATTGCTTGTTTCAGGGACATCCTGAAATTGCCTGGTGTACCTTAGCCTTGTTTATAGGTCCTCTTAACTTCCCACTGTGTAATAAGACCCAATAAGCATCAGTTATTCAAATAAATAGTGATCTTTATTCTAAAGATATACTTATCTTCTTTGTGTTATTCAAATATTAATGAACACGTAACCTATTTTATTTAACGCTGCCCTTTATGTTATAGATGTACTTTTGGTTGACCTTCGTCATTTCTGAATTGAAGGAATATGCTGCAGGTATTGGCCAGGTAGAAGGCCCTATGTTAGGTACTGTGGAGTATCGCATTGCGTTAAACAGCTATTGTTACAGAGGGCTTATATACAAATTGTACAGCACTTACATGCTCATAGATGCTCTTTATCATGATAAACATTACATTTACTTTGTTTCTTTTTCTCACTGATGTAGACAAATTAAACTATGTGCATCAAACATATCAATTGTGCATCATCAATTAACATATTAATTAGTGTATGAACACAAAGATACATGGCACAGGAATAATAAAGGCAACTTTTTGCTTAAAGCATGGTAATAAGAAATTTCAGCAGTTTTTTAACTTCCTATATTAGTAAAATCTTTCATCCATACCTGTGCATGAGCTGTATTCTTCACAGCAACGGAGCTCAGTTAAATGCAAGTGCAAGTAGGTTACTGTTAAGATGTTTAAGATAAAAGTTCTTCCAGTTTTTCTCTTAATATTAATTTCCTGTTTGACTTTACCTGTTACTTTTGTTCAATAAAGTTTGTATGTTGCATTTAAAAAAAATTTTTTTTAACTTCCTATATTAGTAAAACTGCCGACACAAGCAATAAATTTATCAGAGTATACATCATGTGTATAAAAGGCACAAAAGAAAGTCAGGGATTTGATACGTTCAAGAGGTCCATCAATTGCCTCTAATGCACATGTTTTGAACTCTCTCAGTGTGTTTATGAAATGGCCTACTGAAGCAAGCACTGAGAACCAGACTCAACTGAAATCCAGCCAAGTAAGCAATTTGACAGAAACAAGGACAACAACTACAGAAATTATAACAAGCTCTCTCAAAAGTTCATTTCTGTTGTCTCCCAGAATCAGAATAAGAATGGAGAGCAAAAGTACTTTCTCTGCTTTAAAGAAATCTGATGAGGAATGCTGCAAGTTATTTCTTTTGGTGGTAAGCCTCCCTAAAAATCATCTGCTGAAGTTTTATTAGTGATTTTAGCTCATATGTCAGATAACATATTTTTCTTCACAGTCCATGTTCTATTAAAGTTCCAGTCTTTGAAGGGCTCACCTGAGTCCAGGTGCTTAGAGAAGTCCCATATTATGATTTCATAAAATATAACTTTAAAGTCATGAAAGAGAATTCACATTTTTTAAATACTTGGCTTTTAAAGTAGACTTATGGTTATATAACATGGAGTAGAATGTTTCAAATAATAAATGTATGGAAGAATCTGAAAAAATTGCACAAATAATGTCCATGTTCACATATGTTCACTTAAAAGCAAAGTGCTGCTGCAGATCCTCAGAGGTAACAAAAGGGGCTCTGTCTGTAAATGGCCAGTAAAGAATTTTTGAGGTGACTGTAAAACACATGAATTTTTAAAGAAATACACTGTTTTTGCTTTATCCCAATGGGTACATTTGGTAAGTGTTAGCAGATATACAGTCCAATCTTGGCTTTTCAGAAAAAAATGCCCTTAACCATACCTTTGACTTCGATATTTAAAACTCTCTGTACTAAATGAAATCAAAAGAAGATTGTAGAAAACTAAGGCAATGTTTTGCTTATAAATCACATCTTCATGTAATTGGTTTAGTAATACAGTCTTCCAGAATACTGAGAGACTGGAAATATGGATTTATAATTTTTTATAACAAGAAAAGTCTGTACATGAGAAATAAGTCTAGTTCCTCTCACTAAGCACACAATTTTAGACATTCTAAAGCATCCTTTGCCACCTTTGTCCTAATGCGTAGAAAATGCTGAGTTTGAAAGAATCAAAACCATACAGTGCTCACGTTTGCTATTTTACTCATCTAGTAGTTGTTCATTTAAATTTCTAGGCCTTCACTATTTTTCTGAAATTCCACAGGTAAAACTAGAGTGCTGGGAGATGCAGACAGAAAATTAATGAAAAAGTACTCTCCTTGTGAACTATTTCATTTTTAAATGATCTAAAAATTCTTTGTCCTCCAGGGTATCAGAAGCTGAGTGAAGTCTTAAAGGTATCGGTAGGCATTCAAATGAAAATTCATGTATAGGGATATACATATCTATTTGCTACATAAATATTATTTGATGATTAAATTTGTTTTGCTTTTTTTTTTAACATCTGTAGTTTTAGAAGACACTAGTATCTTGGCTTTTAGGAATAGGAATATAAACAAATAAAAAACTAAGGGGTCTCAGTGTCCTCAGAATTCCTAGGACTACTGTTAAGGGAAAGAGAACGTTAGAATTCATAATAGGGTTCTTTAGCACACAATTGTTTAGGCTAAAGCTTCACCTAATAACTTTACTTCTACTCACTTTGTAATTTTACTATTTATATAATATTGGGCATATATGATATGAATATAAAATGTTTGACCAATGTCCACAGAACAAGTTTAGCGTGAAGAAGAGATCATGAAGCCCTACTGAAAGTCACATTAAATGCTATATCCATCCTTACGAGGACAGAAATAAAGCATCCTATTTACTGTTAATGTTAGGAAGTTATTTCTATCTGGATAAATCAAGATTTATATGTCTCAAGTGTATGTTAGAGATGAAATAAGAGAGATTGTGGTGAAGGAAAGTTCCTGAGTAATGTCCTGGAATAAGTCCACACAACTTTATTGCTCATATTTTTGCCTTTACAGGCATAATTGCAGCTGAACAGTCATAAGGAACTGTGTGGTGGTTTATCTTCTCCAACGGCATTACTCACCTTCAGGTCCCGATGGACCACGCCCATCTGATGGCAGTGTAGCACAGCCTCCAGGATCTGCTGAATGCAATGACTGCATGCAAACACCAGGGGGCGTGTGTTAGTTCCAAGCTTACACTCACTGTCTGTATACCCTCAGAGAGACTGGGTTAAAGTGCAGAGCTAGCAGACAACTGGGGTTGTATTGTACCACCTTCAATCATGTAAACATATTGCTCAAGTAGAGTGACTACTACCTCAGAACAATCAGATCTTGCCAGATGTGAGCCAGAATGTGGATCCATTTGTTCTAGAAAAATCCATTTTCAAAATATTTCATGTCATTCAGGAGCTCATTTCCTGGTTATAAATTCTTCCAGGAAATAAACTGGAACACAAAAATAATGTGTATAGCTGTTGTGTTCTGCCTCCACCCCACCACATAAACTGTTTCCCTTTCCCATTTTTCCAGTATTGTTCTAAAAGCTGTCACATTAACAGCCACAGTACTATTAAGGTTAAATTAAGATACCTAATGAATTTTTGATAAATCATTAACTTCTTGTGCTTTAATTTAGCTGGCAATTATTATCTCTTGCCTGAGGGTTCGTCAGACTCAAATGGAGCAATGCGTAACCAGTTGTTCTGCTACAGCAACCCGTGGTCTCAGAACAGAAGTGGTGTTTAAATCTACAGGCGGACATACATCACAGGTCAAGTTTATCTCCAGGCAAATGCTGGGCAATTCAAGAAAGCCTGCCCCCAAACCCCTTTTGGTCGTTTACTGCTTGGAAACTTAACAGGTTGCATTCTTTAGTATTCTTCCCTTTTTGCTATGATGTATATTTAGCCTGTAGATGAGCAAACTGGAAGAGGCATCATGCATTATCATTTCATCATTTACTCATTTTAGAAAAAAGTTGGGAAAGGCAAGGGAACCAGTTTAAATACCCACCCTCTGCCCTTTCCCCAGAAAAAAAAAAAAAAAAAAAACTGCTTTGATTCAGATTTATTGACTTCATATACTGACCTTCAGGTCCCTGTGAACTATGCCATTTAGGTGACAATGATTTACACTTTCTAGAATCTGCTGTATACAATGACTGCAAAGATACAAGGGCAGAATGGAAGGGAGAACATTTTAAAGGCACATAATCACATTGAATATGAAATAAAATGAAAGTCCCAATGAAACAAATAAAAAAAAAACAAAATTATGTTTCTTCTTTTTTTTTTTAGCTTTACATGGGAATCGAATAATGCTGAATAAAGCTAATTTTGGTTCTAACAAAAATGACATCCAACATAGAATTTGTGACATGTTCAGACAAAACAATTTGAGCTGTGTTGTTTTCACTGTAAGTATACAAATTAAGTCATATGTATAAGAAGGTAAAGTTACCATATTCAGAAAGAAAAGTTTATAAAGAATTCCCATAATGTTCTGGGAAAATTCTTCAGAGATATAAAATTTCTAGGTATTTCTTATACACATCTAAACTGTTTAAAATCTGAGGTCACAATTAAACAGGTGTTGAAACAAGAGGGTAAACACAGATGAAGTGGCAGGTGAAACAAGGGTCAAAAAAAAAATGGAGGGACACATTTACCATTTCGCCTTAGAAGCGTTGCTTTTTGTAAAGTATATAACAGGAAAACGAATGCAAGTCTCCAACAATAAAGGGAGAATTTAAAGTAAACCCATAAATAAAATAAACCCCTTTTTATTATAAGATTACTTAGGGGAAGAGCTAGGGAACTTTCAAAGAATAAATAAATACAAATTTAAAATCCCCTGGAGCGCTGGTAATTGTTAACACTTTTTCATACACTTCAGTGTATGAAAACACTTCATACACTTCAGTGAAGAAAAACTTTTTTTTTGCTTAATACTATATCAAAATGCACATTTTATGATATTCTTATTAAAGGTTCACTGATGTCAAACGGACAGCTAATTAGAGAGGAGAAATCCTTGTTTGGCACCTATAAGGCCCCATGAGCTGTCATCTGACATATAATAACGTAGAACATATCACACTGATGAATTTTGTATAAGTTCACTGTGCAATTCAAATGCAAGTATGATGTCCTGAACTACATTTATTCATTGAAAGATGAAGCAAACAATTTAGTAAGAACATTTTCAACCATTTAATGTATAAAATAATATTATTCTAAAAAAAATTTTGAATTAAAAAACAATCACCTTCTGATTTATTACTATGTAAATATTTTAAAAATGGATTATGATAATGATTTTTCTAGCTCACTTATTAACAATACCACTAAAAGGGTCTCATATTCATTGCTGTTGACTACATTGCTTGAGTATTGGCCATTATTTTTAAAACATAGGAATCTTTTTTCTTTTACAATAATATTCACTTTCCACTACTCTTTAGGAAGATTTCTCTTACGGTTCTTAAACAACAATCATAAATTATTAAATATTGGGAATAACAGAAGATAAAGAAGTAAACAATAATACATATTCAATGAACATCAACATTTTTTTACTAGTGAGAATGGATTCAATTCTAAAGTTCTTGAGAACTAGTAAAAAAAGTTTTACATTTTTTTTTTTGACAAACCAAATAGCCTCTTTTGAGACAGGGTCTCACTCTGTGGCCCAGGCTGGAGTGCAGTGGCATGATCCCTGCAGCCTCCACTCCCAAGTTAAAGTGATTCTCCAGCCTCAGCCTCCCAAGTACCTGGGACTACAGGTGTGTGCTGCCATACCCAGATGAGTTTTGTATTTTTAGTAGAGATGGGGTTTCACCATGTTGCCCAGGCTGGTTTCAAATTCCTGGGCTCAAGCAATCCTCCCACCTTGGCCTCCCAAGGTTCTGAGATTAGGAAGTGGGCTACCACATCTGGTGGAGAAATAGCCTCTTTATGCTTCTAGTTAAAAGGGAATGTTTCTTCTCTTTGATTTCGTCTGAGACCTATCCTAAAAAATATCTTAGGGCTCTTTAGCACTAAAAATAATTTCTATTTTAATTTCATCCTGTATTTTTCAAACCAAGTAACAGCCTGCTTAACATAACTTCAAAAGGCAAAATAAATGAAATACCCTAGTTTAGTACCTTGATTAAAAGTATTACTATTTCTTGGCAAATGGCCAAATAGCTAATTCCAAAGCTTCCCTGAGGCCCCTTTCAGGACCCTAATGTGAGGATTTGGGGTAAACTGAGCAAGTAATGATTCACTCATCACAGTGTAAAATACACAGACTCTTCTACTTGACTTTGGCCACAAAAATTCCATTAAAAAATTAGAGCATAGTCATGTACAGATAGATTCACAAAATGGCATGAACAGTGCATTAAACCAAGAAGAAAAATTAGAAACTTAGACGTGTGCCTCTGAGTGCAAGGTGGAGCGGCTGGGAACCTCAATATCAGCTGAACATCTGTTGAGGATCAGTCTATAATGGGATTAGCAAGCCTTGGGAATCTCTGATGACGTTGGAGAGTGAGGGCAGAGTCAATAACTGAATTTTCCTAACACCTCATTTGCATTGCTAATAATGAGCCAATCACTCTTGATCAGATTTTTAAAAATAAATGACAGTTACAGAATATATGTAAATACACAGGAAAATTAACACCATGCAGTCTAAGTAATAGCTAAGCAAGTGGTTAATGTTACTCCACTCCAAAAATGTTGCCTTGGGTAGCCTAGGAAGTTTCAAATTAGACAAAAATCATAGCCTACTTTTTAACTTTTGTGAAGATTTTGCCAATGAACAAGATGGAAAAATTACTGTTGAACTCTCTTAAATACCTGAATAAATATTTTTCACTCAGAGGTCTAAGGGTTTTAATAAAATTTCCAGAGTTAACTAGCTAATAATAGTTCCTTAGAGAGACCACTGAGACTTTTTTTCAATCTGTTTCTGTTTTCTGAATAGATATTCATTATTCAGTGGAACTTTCTGTGATGATAAAAATGTTCTATATCTGGTCTGGCCAATTGGTAGCTCATAAACACTTGTGGGTACTTAACATTTGGCTACACCAACATGTGGTTAGATCAACTGAGAAATAAATTTTTAATTTCATTTAATCTTTATTAATTGAAATTGCAATAGCCACATGTGACTACTGGCTACCACCAGGCAACCTAGAATCTACCTAGGGATTAAAGGATTTCAATCTTTGATCTCTGATCTTTACTAAAAATATATTGCTTTAGGAGAAGTCATTCCAATTAATTAGGGTGTTTTGGTTTGTTTTTTTCTTCTTGTTTTTAATAATATGTAATCTAACTGCAGATGCTAGATAAAAATATAGACCAGATTCATAGATGATTCTTTCCTAAGAATCATCCAGGAGACCCATAAAACATTTGCTTGTACAAACATGCATTTGTAAAGAAATATGCTGAAAAAATATTATTTGAATGTTGAGTCTTGTATCTTGCCCAAGGCAAGTCACTTACCTGGCATCAGCTTCACTGTAGTATTCCCTTGCCACTATGTCTTCAAACAGTTCACCTCCAGTAACTCTGGGGAGATAGAAAAGATAATCACATTTAAAAAGAAGAAAAAAATAAGCATCAATAATTTGCAAATGTGTTCGTATAGATTTTTTTCTTAGATTATTTAAAAAATTATCAAAACATTTTGAAACATGAGACAGTGTTCATAAGTCAAATCTATTTAAATCTTTTCTATTTGTCTATCATTAGATGCAAGGTCACAATTTTCTGTATGCCATAAATATATTCAGCAATATCTTTTACAGAAAATGGTTTTCATTTCAATTCTTCAAATGTTAATTGATATCCGACAAAATTTTGGCACAGTTTAGAAACATTTTCTGACCAAAAGGAGATGATACACATCATGGCCATGAGTATGAGTTTGCAGGCTGCATCTTTCTGTGTAACCTTTTGCTATTTTTGCGTGTGTCCATCCTTAAACATACTGTTTTTTCCCCTTGAAAACACACACATAAAAATACATAGTTTTCCCAAAAAAGTGGGATCGCATACTACATGTAAATAACTAAGCTAATTGTATTTTTCATTTTACATTAAATTATGGCACCATGTTATATCAGAAGCATTTTCCCCTAATTTAATGTAATATGGCAATCAACAGATATATGCATGTGTGTACATATAGGCGTGCGCACACGTATGTGCATATTAGAGAGTATTTCTACAAGAGAAATTCTTACAAGTAAAATTACTGGGTAAATGAGTATACACATTTAAAGTTTGGTCAAGCAGACAAGGCAGGTCATCTAAAATGGTTGCACTGCAAACATTGTAAAGGTGCCGACAGGCCCAAATTATTACAATAATAGTTACTATTAATAAATAAAACACCATTCCAATTGTGGAAAATTCATGTTAATATGAATTTCTTGGCTATTAGTGAGGTAGACCATTTTCTCATTTATCAACCATTTCTTCCTCTGCTATGATCTGGCTTGATTTTAAAAGGACATTTCATCCTTGGGGTTCGACCTTATAAGAATTAAGATTTGCTGAGTTCCTACAATAAACCACACAGTGTTCTAAGAATTATATTAACTCATAAATACCCACAATTGCCCTGTGAGCAATTGCCCTCCCAGTTTATTGATGAGAAAATGGAGGCCCAGAGAAGTTAAGTAACTTTCCCAACATCATCACACAGCCTTTAGTGACACAGGCAGGCCATCCACTCCACAGCTCATACTCTCAACCACTCCACAGTGCAGACTTTCTAATAATGACATTGCCAGTCGTTATAGTTTAGAAGCCATGAGTCATTTGGAAAAGCATCAAGTAGAGGTATAGAGCTTCATGTATAAACACTACAGAGTGAGATACAAGGATGCTAGGGTTTTTTTTGTTCACTTGTTTGCTCTTTTGCTTTATTAACTTTGGAAACATCATCAAAGATTGCATGTTTTAGAGATAGCCAGTTAATATTCTCTTCCTTATTCTCCTTTCCAAAGGAAAAGATGGGATACTAAAAATTGTAAATATGTCTGAACAGTTACGCAACTTCTGACTTCTTAAATGCATTCTGGATATTTCAGAGTACTTTAATGTGAGTCATTATTTCCAATTCCATTATTTTTACATATAAAATGTTTACCTAAAATTATCGTATAAAGCTTTGAGAACATGCCTATATGCTTTTCATATAGGCATGTTCTTATAGGCATGTTCTGAAAATCATGGTTACATGTACATAATTCCGTTTAGTAACATAGTTGTTTTTCCAATTAGAATCTATAATAATAAGGCAATCACACAATGTACCTTACATAAATTATAATGCAAATTAATTAGACAAAAACACTTTCAACAAATTTATTGTCAATTTTGTGAGATTTCTTCGTTTAAATGTGACTAATGTATTATAGATATATACTCTATTTATGCTTGTTTTTGACCATAAGTACCTAGAAAACTTGCATACATTACAGACAATTTTGGATTATTAAAATGTTTAATAAACATTGATTAAAGTCTATTGACATTAACAAACTTGCTGCTATTTATAGGCTCCTTAAACATATTATTTACCCTATGAGAAATACCAGATCTTGGATCACTGGGCTCTTGACTTCCTGATCTTTGCTATGTTAGCATCTAACCTAGCATTAATATGTATTTGCTTAATTACTGACTCTTGAAGTAATGATTAAATAAGTTAACCCAGTTAGAAAACCATGCTATCCATTTCATTTACCGTTAAGTCTGGACTTTACAAGAGCTTAAAAAAAAAACCATGCACATATCCAAGTTTAGCTATCCATGGCAATAGGTTTTACTTTCTAAGGGGTTCATATTTAAAGCAGAATACTGAAAAGTCAGGAAGAGCAGCATTCTGGTAGTTTTCAATGAATTATAATAGCTTTAAACAAATTTGAGGGATGTAGAGTTTTATGCTGAGTTTTGGATTATGTAGTTAAGTGTGTCTGACAACTTCTCTCTCCTCTTCTAGCATTCATTCTTCACATTATTTAAAAACATCTTTACACAAATGAAATAATTTAGTCATTTCTTCTATATGTATGATAAATGTCTGAAAAGAAAAAAATGGCAATTATAATAAAATTCAATGTCGTGAAGAGAAGTGACTGAATTTTCTAATTTTAACATATTTGTATACCCACATTATTGTTTAACAGAACACAAAATTAAGCCATAGTTATGTAAATACGTAATATTTTTGAAAATTTTGTGTGCCATGTAAAATTTCATATAATGTACAAATTAAATCAGTCTCATGAATAAACTGTTAGATTAATTAACTAATTAGAGATTTTGTGAATAAATTGATGTCAGAGTTCTATAATATGAAACATATCAATTATAAATCTGAAGCATTAATTACCATTTATGAATCTCAAAAACATTAGGAAAAAGAAAAGATAACTCTAGAACATGAAAAGATGAGACTACATATCAGAAAGGTTTGTGGTGTTGTTGTTATTGTTATTTATAGTGATACTGATTCACGCTGTTACCCTCTATAATGAATTGTTCTTTTGTTTCTAGTGTACAATTTGTAACTTACATCAGAAACGTTCAAAAGTAGTTTCATTAACAATATAACATTTGTAAAATTTCATCAGTAATATATCTTTGTCCATGATGCTGAGCAGCAAGTCGAGTCGGCTTTAAAAAATAAAATGGTGCCACATTAACTCAAGAAATAGCACTGACTTGGAGATTAAAAGCAGTGCTCTGAGTGGTGGGAGAAAGCCAGGAACTTCAGGCTGGAGCTGATGGAAAACAGGAACCAAGAGTGGCACCTAGCTAATGCACAAGGAGGAAGCCATCCTGCTAAGGTAGGACTGGGATTCCCTCCTGGAAAAGGAGTAATTTAACCTGGGAAATGAATTTAAAGCCGAAGAACAAAGCTAGTGAGATGAGATGACTAGACCTGAAATCCAGGCCTCTGAGCAGAGGTAACAGAGGTTCATCAAGCAGTTAAGCAAAGAATCACTACCATCAGATTTTTGTTTGTTTGTCAAAAAACATATTTTGTGCTGCCTTGAACTTAAGCAATTTGTATGTCTTCATTCAGTGATGAAGGCAGAAGTTGCAATGCTGACACATTCATCCGTGTCACCTGCATTAAGCCATTTTATATCAAGGACTTCAGCATCTGCAGATTTTGTTTTCTGAGGGGGGTCCTGGAATCAACCCTCTGTGGATAGTGAGGAACAACTGCAATGTATACACACACACACACACACACACACACACACACACACACACACACAGTTATATGTATATGTATATGTAATTTCACTTATAAAATACTGATTTGCTGGGCGTGGTGGCCCATGCCTATACTCCCTGTACTTTGGGAGATTGAGATGGGAGAATTGCTTGAACCCAGGAGTTTAAGACCAACCAACCTAGGTAACATAGTGAGGGCCTGCCAGGTGGGGTGGTGTGAACCTGTAGTTCCAGGTACACAGGAAGCTGAAGTGGGAGGATTGCTTGAGCCTGCAGAGAGCCATGATCATGCCACTGCACTCCAGCCTAGCTGACAGAATGAGACGGGGTCTCAAAAATTAATAAATAATAAGATCAAATACTTATTTAGAGAGGTGAATGGAAGATTTCTAACATATCAGACATTTCAAAAGATATCTGACCCATATACTGTACTGTGCATTAAAAAAAGAAAGAAATCACTGTATATGGTTTTACAAACACCACAGATATTCTAAAGAGTAACAATAATAATTACAAAATATGGTTTTAAAAGAGTAGAGAAGTCCATCTAATTAGAAACAATTTGAGAACATACAGTAATTATGTATTATCTATTGAAATTCAGTAAGCCTATTAGAAGTCTTGCTGAATAAAAGATAAATTAAAATCTATACCTATACTATATCTCTTGTCATTCACTAGACTGTTTCAAACAATATAATATGCACATGACTATTTTTATTTATCTATATGTTAAAATCATTGCCATTAAAAAATCCCTTGTATTATCACATTTTTTTCTCATATTTTGTTATTTATTATGCTTGGGTAACTCTTAGAGAAAAAGGATAATCACTTTAAAAAATATCTGCAATTGGCCCACTGATGAATGTTACTAACTGAGTATCATCACCTGATAAGCTACATATTATTAATGCCACATGTACTGAAATGGCCTTCCAGGGTTAGGCTGAACCTTCCTGTGAAGGTAAGTTTTCACTGTTAATGCCAAGGCAACTGCCTTTGACTGAAAATATCACCACAGTAAAACTTTTTTTCACATGCTAATTGGGATGAAATAGTTTCTGTATATCAGTAACTCATGTCAAAGTTAGCTTTGATCAACAGAAAAATGAGCCTTTGTTTAGCCACAAAATGTGTAGATCATGTTATGAAAGCCGGAAAGCTACTGTACAAAATGTGTAAATTTATAACCCAAAGTTCAGATTCTAACATATTTCTAATCACCAATACTCCAGAAAGAATCCTGACATAGAGGTGACAGATGAGTGAAACTGCTGATTTGTTGATACACCACTATAAGACAA